TTTGTGATACCTAGAAGCTGGAAATAACCCAGATGACCCACAACAAAAGAATGAATACAGAAAATGTGGTTCATTTACACAATGGAATATTATTAAGTTATTAAGAATGAAGACATCATGAGTTTTGAGGCAAATGGTTGGAACATCATTCCATCCTAGAAAAAACCATCCTAAGTTAGATAACTCAAACATGAAAGGAAATGCATGGTATGTACTCACTAATAACTGCATATTAGCCAGAAGAAGTACAGAATACCCAGAATACAATCCACAAAACTCAAAAAGGATAACAAACAGATGGTACAAAGTGAGAATTCTTCAATCCCACTTGGTAGGAAAAAGAAAGTAATCACAGAGGGTGGGAGTAGGAGGGAGGGGGATGGATGGGTGAGGAGATAGGTAGGGGAAGAGGGAAACATGGACAGATATTCCAGAGAGAGGGACAGGCCTGAAGCCCTGAGGGCTAGCAGAAAGAATGGAAATGGGCAACCTCAGGAGAGAGGAGGTGAAGGGGACCCTTTAGAATGCCCCAGAGATCTGAAAGGTGAGAAACTGTCTTACTAAAGGGGAGGACCAAAGCCTGACACTATTATGGATTATATGGTGTGCTTACAACCAGGGGCATATCATGAGTGCCCTCTGAAAGGACTAATAAGCAGTTGAAAGAGTCAGATGTAGACATTTATACCCAACCAATGGACAGAAGCTAGTGACCCCTGTGGCTGAATTAGAGAAAACCTGGAAGAAGCTGAACCTACAGAAAGGCCAGCAGTCTGCACTAATAGGCACCCAGGGGGTTGTTCAAACACTGAGAAGCCAACTAGCCAGAATACACTAGCTGATGTGAGGCTATCAACACATATACAGCAGAGGATGCCTGGTCTTGACTCAGTGAGAGAAGATGAACTTAAGCCTCAAGAGACATGAGGTCTGAGGGAGTGAGGAGGTCTGGTGGGGTTTGGGATCTCCTCTTGGAGACTGGGTAGAAAAGGAATGGGATGTGAAACAGTCAGAAGGTGGAGTGGGAGGGGGGTAAAAACTGGACAGTAAGAAGAGATTAAAAAATAAAAAAACAGAAAAAAAGAAAAATATGGGAATAATATGAGCCACCCAATAAAATATATCTGACCTACCCACAATCCATGGAACACACCTGCATTTGCTATACAAAGAGCTCATGGGGGTGGAGACTAATACAATATTTGATGGAAATTAACAAACCATAGGACTCTGGAGCTCTCTCCAAAGGGGGCTGATCCACATCTGAGCCATCCCTGCTAATGCCCCCCTATTTGCAATAGGCCTAAAAGACTGATTTTTTTCCAACTCTCTCCATACAGAGACTGCAAATGCTTTCCATTCTCATTACCCCCATTAACAACTCTGGCCAATCCTCACTATATGAAAGGACTGTTCTCACTCATGGACTGGATAACACTCTAACAATTTGGCATAAGTCTGTGGCCACTGCATCGAATTCTTATTTAGGCATATGACTCAATTCATTTGATTATATGGATGAGATCTTAATATAGGGAGATTCTTTCACTGCCCCTTCCAGATTAAAGACCAGCTAATCTACCTTTCCTATCTTACAGAGGATCCAAAAGAGTTCCTCAAAAAGTACAATGGTCTTTTTTCCTACTAAGCTTCAGATGAAGGAAGACCAGGGTGTGGATGCTTCAGTTCAACATTGAGGTGAGAACAGAATGATAACAGGAGGTGTAGGGAGGACAGAAATGGGAGAGAAAGAGGAGGGGGAGGAAACAAGAGAGGCATTATCAGGTATTGAAGGGGATAGAAGACTGGAAAGAGGAACATACGGTCAGGAAATCAAATAAAAATATATAGCAGGGGGGTATGAGAACCTCGGGTAGTCATTGGAAGATCCCAAATGCCAAGAAAATGAGTGACTTCCAGGACCACACCGGGATGTCTTTAGAAAAAATGTGCAGAGAAGGGGGAGATAGAGCCTATAGAGACCACCTCCAGTAGATAGGCATGGCCCCTGGTTGAGGAATGAGGTCAACCACACATCCTAAACTTTTCAACCCAGAAATGTTCCTGTCCAAATGAAGAACAGGGACACAAAATGGTTCAGGGAATGATGAAAGAACCATCCAAGGACTGTCCCACCTGGGGAACCATCCTGGCTGCAGAAAACCAAACCCCTGAACTATTGCTATTGCCAAGAGGCTCTTGCTGACAGGAACGTGGTGTAGCTGGCTGTTGCTTGGAGGGTTCAGCCAGCATCTGAGCGATGCAGATGTGAATGCTTGGAGCCAACCATCAGACTTAGCTCTGGGATCCAGGTGGGGGAGCTGGCAAAAGGACTGGAGGAGAGGAGGGGTATTGAAACCCCGTCAGAAGAACATCACCTGGCCAGACCACCCAGTGCTACCAGACACTAGGCTCCAATCCAAGGAGTGTACTGAGAGAGAATCATGGCTCTACATACTTATGTAGCAGATGATTGCCTTGTCTGACATCAATAGGAAGGGTGGTCCTTAGTCCTGTGGAGGTTGGATGCCCCAGCATAGGGGGATGGTGGAGTGGTGGGGTGGGAGAGGGTGGGTTGTGGGATTACTGCCTCATAGAGGAAAACAAGAGGGTGGAGAGGGCATATGTGGGACTGAAGATTTGTGGAGAGGTAACCAGGAAGTAGGATACATTTGATATATAAATGAAAGGAATGATTAGTAAATAAAATTTAAAAAATTTTAAAATATACAATAGATTCTGCCCATTTTCTTTTTGGAACAAAAATCTCCCTCAACTCAACATGTCACCTCAAATGCAAACTTTTGTTCCCTTTGAAATTAACTCCAGAACTACTTGGGTAGCCTTAATTGGCTTAGACCCTGACTCTCCCTTCCCACAAGCATCCTTCAATCTCTTGTTAACCTCCTAAAAGGAAACAAAGGCTCCTCATGCTCATGCCAGGAGAATACTGTTCCCTAAGTCATCCAAGCTCTAAATTCTGTCGATAAAGTTAAGTTTTCATCAATACTTAGCATTTGCTCTTACCTGCTACAGCATTTTAGTTCCTTGAAAGCAGTTAGACTTTATGAGAATTACAAAGATATTTAACCACTGCCACTTCACTATGGTCATGCCATGGTCACATTCATACACCATATCCTGAAGAATGGTTGTTCTGATTCTGAAACACTAAATGTCTGAGACTTTCAGAAGGAATTGTTCAAGGATAATTAACTTTATCCAACATGCTGAGGATATGCTATATTGTCCTGTAATCTGTTGATTTTTGATCACCTTCTTGATGCCTGTAACAATTCTCTGGTCTTTTGTTAAGACTACATCATCGGTCAACATTAGGGGAATTCAGGATTGAGTTCCTTCTCAATTTTAATAGAATATAGATTAGCTGTGTGTAGGTGTGTGTGTGTGTGTGTGTGTGTGTGTGTGTGTGTGTGTGTATCACATGCTCTGGGTCTTCTTAAATTCTTGAGTGTTGGGTTAGATGATCATCAAATAGATTCTTTTTCAGATATTTGTGCCTGAAATATCCATATGTCTCATGTTATTCTCATTTACACTCTGGGATTTCAACACAATAACTTTGAGCTCCAATGTTGTCTTCCTGCCCTCATATATCATCTGGCTTCTTTCTATCTTTTTATGGAATTATACACTGAATCATACTAAGTTTTCTGCTTGTTATCACAGATGACCTTAGGCTAATGGAAAGGAATAATTTCAGTGCTGCTGTAATCTTTCTTACACTTTCATTTGACTCTTTTATCAGACTTGGTTTCCACCAGGTTCAGTCATTTTATCCTTTCCAATTTCTACTGTGACTTGGGTTTCTATTTTTTTTTTATCCAAGGCTTCTATACCACACTGTCCTTCCTCAGTTTTTTTTTCTTTTTTTTTGTGCATAATCTAATGAGCAGATTACCAATTTGATCTTTTTTGCTCTTTTTTTCCTAAATAATGAGATGAACACTGTTCTCATCATTGTGACATTCCAATGCTCATTATGTTTATCTGCATGCAGGTAACTGAAGCATGTTTGAACATGAATTAGCTAATTAAATGATAATAAATATTTTGTTAATTTTTGCAGTCAGAATATCAATCACCATTAAAGCAGAGAAGCAAAACAGAATAAGTTTCAGTCACATAATGAATCTTTTTCAGTAAGAAGTCAAACAGAAATCCATCCTGTATGCCTAGCCTATCCCTATGGACTCTATAAAGGTGGGAGCCAAACTTAGGAACTCAAATTAAGATTTGGACTGGTAACTGTCTATAATATGGCATAAACAAACTGTGGGAAGTAAATTTAAGTGGTGGTTTGTTGGGAGTGAGGCCATTCTTTTTGGAACCCACGACTTGTTTGTATTGAGAATATATAGAAGTGCAATTATGACCTGTATACTGAAATTCAGCTTAACAGTCACTTCATATTTCTAATGAACAAATAGGAAATATACAGGTAAAGAAATAAAATACATAATAACAAAAAATTTCATAGACTCCTGGGTACACATGGGTCTTGACAACATTTTGCAGTTTCTAATTTGAACATTAAAAGGCAGGCATGTCACATGACTTCAATACAGAAAGAAAGTTCCTGACCTCAGGAAGCAGCTACACCCAGACCTGGAGCTGGCTCAGGGATATACATGTTCATTAGAAAATAGGCATGGAAATGACAATTTTACCAACCAATGTCAGTCCCTGTTGTAACACAGGGAATGAAAAATTGAGTTGAAGTAAACATTAAAACTTTTCTGTGAAAGTCTAAAAGAAAAAGATAATAATTAACAAGTTTTTCTCTACGATAATGATGAAATCTGAACCAGCTTTGCCAACATTAACATTGGAAGCTAAGTTGTCTAACACATTTAAAAATAATCTAGAACTTTCAACCTCTTGGCACCCACTATATATCATGTCATATACCAGTAAGACATGCAAATAGGGCTTCTCTCTACTCATGAAAAGCAGACCAACCAAACCTTACATATCAGGCAGAGGAGCTTGGCTCTGGATCCCAAGACTTCTTATTCACTCCTCAACATGGAGTTGAAACTGAGCTTAATTTTCATTTTTGCCCTTTTAAAAGGTATTTTTTTGAAGAGCAATAGAATCTGAATTTGAGTTGGCATGGATATGAAGAACAACAGGTGTGTGGGGCAATTTACTTACCAGTATTTTCTGTACTTACAGATGTCCATTGTGAAGTGCAACTGGTGGAGACTGGAGGAGGCTTGGTGAAACCTGGGAGTTCTCTCACACTCTCTTGTGCAGCCTCAGGATTTGATTTCAGTAGCTACTGGATGTACTGGTTTCGACAGACACCTGGGAAGGCTCTGGAGTGGATCGGAAATATTAAATATGATGGCAGTGCAACAAACTACGCACCATCCATAAAGGGTCGATTCACTATCTCCAGAGACAATTCCAAGAGCACCCTGTACTTGCAGATGAGCAATGTGAGATCTGAGGACACGGCCACTTATTACTGTACAAGAGACACAATGAATGAACTGCAGTGTGAGACCAGACATAAACCTCACTGTCATACCACTCTGAACCACCAGGGGGTGCACAGTACATGCAGAACTGTGGTTCAGACCAGATTATAAACACATGAAAGGACACCCTTCTCAGGTGTCTAGGCAACCTTTCAGCTTAGTTTCCCAGAAAGTCATTATGAATGTTTGTTTTGGGGGAAACTGATGTGCTTAAAACATTTGTTGTATTTCTGCTCTTCTTTTAAAAGAAAAAATAGGAAGCATAGTTCCACATGAAGAAAATGCAAAATGAAAACTATGAGGTCATGAATGTTTCAGGCTTGATCGCTGAAATCACAAGACAAAGTTCATGGATATCCCTGTGTATTAGTTAGGGTTTTGTTACTTGATGAAGACACAACAATCAGCACAACTCTTATAAATTAAAACATTTAATTGGGCCTGGCTTGCAGTTTCTTTGGTTCAGTCTCTTGTCATCATGTTGAGTAGCATGGCAACTTGCAGGCAGGCATGGTGTTGGAGGAATTGGAGTTATGTATCTTGATCTGAAGACATCCAGAAGGAGACTCTTCTGCAGGCAGCCAGGAAGGGTTTCTTACTCACTGGTAGGCCGTGAGCATAGGAGGATACAACGAAATCTCATCATCACTGTGACACACTTCCCCCAAGCAGGCTATACCTCCCTCAATTAGGCCATACTTCCTAATAATCTCACTTCCAATAAGCCAGGCATATTCAAATCACCACACCCTATTTGTTTGTTTGTTTCTTTTTTTCTTTCTTTCTTTTTTCCTTCTTTCCTTCTTTCTTTGTTTATTTATTTATTTATTTATTTCAGATTCAAAAATAAGAGTTTTGATCAGATTTGTTGATTAGAGTCGTACTTATATTTGATGGAAATCCAGAGGAAGATGTGGGTGACCCTAGTAAGTCCTAAACCTCCACTCTTTACCGAAAGTCTATTTACATCACATTTCATATATGGCCATCTCTTTTAAATAATTCAGTTTATTACTCCATGTACTTCATCAACGTTTGTTATAAGATTTTATACAAATTTATTTATTCAGTAAAGTCTGTGTCTATAGGGATTCAGACATATCAAACATGATTTCTTGTCCTCTATAGGACATGAACATGGATATCACATATCGCCTTAGCACTAACAAAGCCAGCTTTCATGAAATTTTCTGACAGTTTAAACATTTTGTTCATTTGTGTGGTATGCCTGTGTGTTTGTGTGTGCTGGGGGTGGGGGTTGCACTTGTATGGTTTCACAATGTGAAATGAATATTTCAGGAGTCCCACTTTGCTTATCAGTATATTGTTGTATCTCCTGATGTGTTACTTACACCAGAATTAGATGCCCAGTGAGTTTCTTGTCATTCTTCCTGTCTAACCCTTCCCACTCTGTGTTGGCATGCTGGGATTACACTTATTTGGCACCACAAGATGAATTTTACCTGGGTTTCTGGAATGATGTTAGGTTGTTATGAAAGCATAGCATTTACTTTTACCTGCTACAGCATTTTAGTTCCTTGAAAGTAGTTATTCTTTAAGAAAATTGCAAAGACATTTAAGCACTTCCACTTCTCCATAGTTCTCAGTAGGCTTGAGCTTCTGCTCAGATCCAGCATGCCATGGCGAACTTCATACAGCACATGCTGTGGAATGGGTGTTCTGATTCTAAATCTCTCTAAGTTTGAGCCTCTAAGAAGATATTGTTCAACGATAATTAACTTTATCTAACATGCTGACACTATGCTGTATTCTCCTGTCATCTGTTGATTTTTGATCACACTCCTGATTCCTGTAAAAATTCTCATGTCTTTTTTAAGCCCACACATCTGTCTAGAATAGGGGACCTTCAGTGTTGAGTTCCTTCTCAATATAATGAAATATGGGCTACCTGTGTGTAGAATTGTGTGTGTGTGTGTTTGTGTGTATGTAAAATGCTTTGGTTCTTCTTAAATTTTGAGAAATAAGTTAGAAGATTATCATCAGGTAGATTCTTTCTCAGATATTTGTACCTGAATGTCCATATGTCTCATGTTTTTCTCATTTATATTCTGGGATTTCAATACAAAAACTTTGAACTCAATTATTGCCTTCTTGCCCTCATATATCATCTGGTCTCTTTCCATTATTTGTGGAATTATATACTGAACCATACTAAGACATCTACTTCTTATATAGATGACCTTGGGCTAATAGAAAGGAATATTTCCCTGTGTTGCTATAATCTGAAGCACATTGAAACCTGAATAAGCTAAGTAAATGATAATAAACCTTTTGTTTAATTTTTCTGACAGAATATCAGTCACCATTAAAGTAGAGAAGCAAAACAGAGCAAGCATCTGTCAAATAATGAATCCTTTTCAGTGAGAAGTTAAATAGAAATCCATCATGTATGTCTACCACTATGGCCTCAAGAAAGTGAGAAACAAACCTAGGAACTGTGATTAAGATCAGGACTGGTAACTGATGTGATGTGGCATAAACAAACTGTGAGAAGTAAATTTAAGGGGCAGTGTGTTGGGAATGAGGCCATTCTTTTTGGAGTTCAGGGCATGCACACATAGAGAATATACAGAAGTGTAATTGTGATCTGTACACTGAAATTCGGCTTAACAATCATTCTATATTTCTAGTGAGCTAAAAAATATGCAGGGAAAGAAGAACTAAAATATATAATAAACATCAAAGGCAACCTTTGTGTACAAGTATAGAGGGAACTAGATGATGATTAAAAGTTTTACTCAAGGAAAACAATGAAATCGGTTACCAACTTTTCCATTATTAACATTGTAATCTGACTTGTCTGACTCTTTTACAAATGATCTGGGGCTTGTCACCTCTTGGCTTCCACTATATATCATGTTATATAGAAGGAAGACATGCAAATAGGGCTTCTTTCTACTCATGAAAAGCAGACCAACCTAACCTTACACTTCAGGCAGAGGAGCTTTTCTCTGCATCCCAAGACTTCTTATTCACTACTCAACATGGAGTTGGAACTCAGCTTGGTTTTCATTTTTGCTCTTTTAAAAGGTAATTTTTTGAAGAGCAATAGAAGATGAATGTGTGAGTTGACATGAATATGAGGAACAATGGGTGTATGGGGAAATTTATTCACCAGTATTTTCTGTACTTACAGATGTCCATTGTGAAGTGCAGCTGGTGGAGACTGGAGGAGGCTTGGTGAAACCTGGGAGTTCTCTCACACTTTCTTGTGCAGCCTCAGGATTTGATTTCAGTAGCTACTGGATGAGCTGGGTTCGACAGACTCCTGAGAAGGCTCTGGAATGGATTGGAAACATCAAATATGATGGCAGTGCAACAAACTATGCACCATCCATAAAGGGTCGGTTCACTATCTCCAGAGACAATTCCAAGAACACCCTGTACTTGCAGATGAGCAATGTGAGATCTGAGGACACGGCCACTTTTTACTGTACAACATACACAATGAATGAACTGCAGTGTGAAACTAGACATAAACCTCACTGTCAGCCACTCTGAACCACCAGGGGGTGCACAGTACATGCAGAACCCTGGTTCAGACCGGATTATAAACACTATAAGGACACTTTTCTCAGGTGTCTAGGCGGCCATTCAGCTTAGTTTTCTAGAAAGTCTTACAAAAGTTTGTTTTGGGAGAAACTGAAGTGCTCAAGACGTTTCTTGTATTTCTACTATTCTTTTTTTAAAAAATGAGAGATAGTCTCACATGAAGAAAATGCAAAATGAAAACTATGAGTTCATGAATGTTTCAGGCTTTATCACTGAATTCTCAAGACGAAGTTCATGGATATCCCTGTGATTTAGTTAGGGTTTGGTTACTTGACGAAGACACAAAAATCAGCACAGTTCTTATATTTTATAACATTTATTTGGGCCTGTCTTGCAGTTTCATTGGTTCAGTCTATTTTCATCATAATGAGAAGCATGGCAACTTGTAAGCAGACATGGTGTTGGAAGAATTGGAGTTATGTGTCTTGATCTGAAGACATCCAGGAGATTTTTTCTGCAGGCAGTCAGGAAGGGAGTTTATTATTACTAACTGGTAGGGTTTGAGCATAGGAGGAGACCACAAAAGCCCATCACAACTGTGACACACTTTCTCTAAACAGGCTATACCTCCGACAATTAGGCCATATCTCCTAATAATCTCACTTCAAATTAGCCAAGCGTATTCAAATCACCACACCCTATTTGTTTTTTTTCTCTTTTTTTCTCTCTTAATTTTTCCTTTCTTTCTTTCAGATTCAAAAAAAGAGTTTTAATCAAATTTCTTAATTTGAGTAGCACTTATATGTGATGGAAAATCCAGATGGAGATGTGGATGATCCTAGTATGTCCTAAACCTCCACTCGTTTCCCTAGGGACTGTATACATCACATTTCAGATATGACCCTCTCTTGAATATAATTCAGTTTATTACTCCATGTCCTTCATCCATGTTCATTATAAGATTTTATACAAATTTATTTATTCAGTATAGTCTGTGTCTATATGGAGACAGACATTTCAAACATGATCTCTTGTCTTATATAGGACTTGAAGATGGAATTAAACCTGTAGGAAGGTATTGAACATATGCATCTAAGTTCATGCTGCCCTTCATGAGAACTGAAATCTACTCACCAAAAAAAATCTCTCATATGATTTTCTATTTTACCTAAATCCATCGTGGATAACATGGATAACAGGTATCACCTTAACACTAACAAAGCCAGCCTATTACTTCTGGAGCCACGTAAATTCCAAGATTCATTTTTGAAAGAATTACATACACTGTGTAAAAAGCTGAGAATATCTGCCTTTTTTATACTCTAGGTGAGAGAACGAACATGAATTTGTATCAAAATAATCTGAGAAGAGTTAGAGGAGAAGAAAATAATCAGTTAAGTTGAATTAAAAATTAAGAAAAGCAACATGCACATGTGTGAAACACACCAATATAATGAATTCAGAAATTATATTTATGTATCATTTTGAAGGGAAATCATGAGAAAATCCAGTAGACATTAGGAACAGATACCTATATTATCATGTGTTTGACAGTTGCTATTTAAAACTCATAAATTGGGAAATGCTGAACTTTAGAT